CCTTAGAAATGGTGATTTTCGGTCAGAAGATCGGTTTTGAGATACGCACATGGTGTTTCCCAAGATTTTTAACAGAAGAAAGATTTTTCGGGTTTTCGAGTTTGTTGGTTGACTGGAAAACCTACAAATGCTTATTCGAAAAATCGGCGCCGGTCAGTCCATGTAGTTAGGTGTGTACCTTAAAACAAAACAAATCCGAACTCTCCAACTTAAACTATATTAAAAAATCTTGAGAAACACTTCAAGGTCCTTTTTGGAACCTTGATCTCTGGAAAACTCCTAAACCGTAAGACTTGGAGACAAAAAATTCTTTCATTCCCGTAACTCATTGTGTCTAACATTTATGGAAAGTTTCGTCAAGATCGGATGTACGGTGTTGGAGATAATTTCTGAGGAGGAGGTCCTTAACGAGAATAATAATCTAGTTGAAAAGTCTCGCTCATGAGCAAACAATCACGTAATATATGAACTAATCAATGCTTCATCGAGTAATAGAATTTTTGGATTCCTTATTAATGCTCTGGCTATCGCAATTCTTTGTTTCTGTCCACCGGATAGTTGAGCACCTCTTTCTCCTACCATTGTTTCATATCGCTTGGTAAAAATTAAAAGTGAAGATGATATTTTTATTAAAATGATATAATATATACTTACATCTGGTAATGTCATGATAAAATCGTGTGCATTTGCTTTTTTTGCTGCGTCTTCAATATCACTATCCGTCACATTGTCTTTTCCATATTTAATATTTTCTTTAATCGTTGCAGCAAACAAAATTGGTTCTTGACTAACAACTCCAATGTGTTGTCTTAGCCAACGAAGATTGTATTCACTAACAGGATGACCGTCAATTGAAACAGAGCCCGCAATCGGATCATAAAATCGTTGTAGTAATTGAATACAAGTGCTTTTTCCACAACCGGAACTTCCGACTAATGCAACTGTTTGCCCACTTTTTGCATCAAACGATAAACCATTTAAGATGCGAGTATCTGGTCTTGAAGGATATATAAAATCGACTTTTGAAAATTTTATAACACCGGTTAGATCTGGAGTTTTAAGACCACTCTCAGAATTACTTATGATTTTTGATGGCTAAAATATGAGATAGAAAGAATGAGAAATGAAATAGGTTTTCTAGGAATATTTGAATGAAGAGTCTCGCACGTTTAGCTTCTTTGTAGGTAAGCCAAGTCAAACTAGTCTGTTCAGACTTTCGTTTTAGTGATCTGGTTCCATAAAGGCGGCGTAAAAACTATTCCGCTTGCAGATATCAAAGTTAATGTTTCTGCATAAAAGTAAGCAGCTTTTCTGACAAGAAAATTTCACGAAGTGATTTATCATTTTTTTTCATTGTGGACATATTTATTACAAGTAATTTCTGATATAGTCAAAAATCTAATGTTGAACTGCCCCACATGCCTATTCTAAAAAGTAAACCAGAAAACAAACGTAGAGATATTCTTAATGGCTCTCTAGCTGCACAATGGTTATTGGATTAAAAAATGACTTATGATAAAGTATGTTTGTAGAATAAAAGCGATGAATCATTTGGCAAGATCTTTTGTGTGTATTAACGTTCTATTTTCATATGTTTTAAAATCAATCATGCAATGAACTTACTGTATCAATTATTTTCCAAACATATTCAGCTGCTCCTCTTGCTTGTGCTAGAGATTGAAGATGTGGTGCACCTTGACCAAGACTAAATACGGCGATGAGTATTGAAAAAAATACCTAAATATATTAACATATAACTAGATGTAAATGATTCAAAAATAAATGTCTGTTGGAACAGAAGTAAATCATCTTCAAAAATATGATGATAGTTGTTTTAATAGTGATTTGCTTTTAGTGTTGTCAAAAAACGTTGAACTTGTCATATACTTACTATTAACACAGCGCCAATTTTAAAGCCATCCTCTCGAATTAATTTTGCCCCATACCAAAAACCTTCAATATTGTCGTTTTATTAGGTTTGAATATGTAATAAACTACAGATAACTATAGACATACCTAATGCGTACGCACAGAATATGACAAACCATAAAAATCCCATGGTTAATCCATTGAAAGCTCCCTTCTTTATACCAAAATCTCTAGCTGAATTTAAATGTCGTTCATATCTACAAGTGAAAAATAAATATTACTATCATAGTCATTATTAAAAATCTCAAAATATCTATCAAACCTGGCTTGTTCATGTTCAGCACCGTTATAGCTGAAAACAGTTCGAATTGAACTAAATACTTCTTCAGCAACCGCACCAGCTTTCCCATAGGCTCTTAATTCACTCGCAGTCATACTAGCTGTAAGCTAAAGAAATAAATATTAATCCTTACACAAATAGGGGTAAATATAGACAAGCTGTCGACAAACTTCACTCTAGGGAGATGATTTGTAGCCCAGCGTGATGGGAATCTTTACGATCTTTAACAAATACGTTATTTTTACTTGATGAATCACAAAAGTAGAACTAAACTTTTATCATCGCCAGTAAGCTTAAAAACACCACAATATATTTACTTTGGAAAATGTTAACGCTGCAATAAACATTAGTGGTGACACCGACAAGACCACTAACGTGAGTTTCCAACCCTTTATAAAACCTGAATTTGTTAAAACTCATAGTTCAGAATTCAAAAGAATAGAATTAGTAGTGCACAGATGCTACATACCCAAAATAAGACCAGTCAAAAAAGCCGACAAAAATTGACAGGCAGAACCTATTTTGTCACCGATGCCGTCATGTATTTTATTGATATCTCTAAAAAATACACAAACTACTCAAAACGTATATTCACAAAACTCATTCTGCCAGAAAACACATTAAATTTCAACCTGATTAATTTTTTTCCATTGAGTGAGAAATACTGCGAAACCGAAGGAAAAAACTATAAACTTAGTCAACTTCGAGCGTAGCAGTCATGAAAAAACAAAAACTCCTGCAATACTTTCCCAAGAGTCCTGATGAAATCCTGAGTAGATTACTACTTTGGTAAAGATCTCGTGGGATTTTGCTGGGACACCTGTTGAAACTACACAAAGCACATTTATTTTTACGTTTTCTCAGAATACATCGTATGTAAGAACCATTGTTTTGATGACAGATTTTTGAAGTTTTCCATCGGTTTAAAATAGCACTCTTGGAGTAAGACTGAACCTCTTTTATGAGGTTTAATCACTTCTTCGGCTGCCAAAAACAGACTGAACACATAAAAAGTTCCGCCATGGGTTTCCGCAACTCTGATTCTCTCCTGACAGAACTTTTTGGGATCCTGTACATCCGATCGAACTCTTCAGAAGGCTCTGCCGTCCAAACAGTCCGATGAAAAAGTTTTTTCAAAAAACGTTCTAGAGCTTTAAGAGATTCTAATAGGGAACCTATGAAAGCTTTCATGGCATACCAAAATGTCAATTAAAAAGTGTGAAATAAAGAAAAAAGTATTGCTGAAACTAAAAACTCCTACAGAAGTCTATCACGCGAGTCCCGCAGGAATTTTTCTAAGGACTAGGAATATCATGGCAATATTGATATTTAGAAGGATACGGAAGTTTTAGCATCAACATCTCGTTTAAAAATGATCAACTTTGAATAATGAATTGAGTGGAAGAGTGTAGAGAAAAGATAGATTTCACATATTTTCTCTCTTATAGAAACATCAAAGACAAGCTCTTTACATTCTATGATTGCTCCGATGATAATTTTGACGGCTCCCTTACAGAAATAGACCGGAAAAAGTTACTTACTCGGTTAATCTGGTATTTAATTCTCCTAAAAATTAATTGATGAAAATATTAAGAACATTTGAAATAAAAAAGCTTCTTATATTCAGAATTTTGGGTCAAAAATGTCTTTTATATTTTCTTTTTGTATATGATAGTCATAGCCATTCAATATAAGACCATAACGATAATCTCGTCCTATTTAGCTCGGAGTTGCCCAGCCCAAGATAAACTCCGGAGTTGAGGAATTTTTTGTTGAAGTTGGAGTCGGATTTTTGAATTTTTATTCTCAACACCGGTTCTGCATTCTTGGAAATATTCAATAGTTGTAAACTGATCTTCTAAACGATTGAGTGGCTGTGAATTCGAAAGTTCTTTGCGCTTTCCTGCCGGAAAAAGCTCAAAAATGTCTAGTATTCTGCTAGAAACCGAAAAATCTTCCTTACAAAAGTGAAGCAATCGGAGTTGAACGGGAGTTGAGATTTTTGTTGCGAGAGTTGGAGTTGAGGTTGAAAAAAGTTGAGCGGAGCGGGAGTCGGAAATTTGAAAAGGGAGTTGGAGTTGGAGGTGAAAGTCACGGTAGTTGCCCAGCCATGGCTCTCTCTAATAAAGAAATTTAAAGTTACTCCGGATATACAAAAATGTTCGTATGTATATGCAAGTAAGAATTTAAACAAAATGATGATTATTATCAAAATCTTGGATACAAGAAGTTTTGCTAAGATTAGGTTTCATTTAAGTTGTAGTACGCGTACCTGTTTTATGCATATCAAAATAAAGTATTTCCTTATTCATAATTGAACGAAAAACTGCTTCTCTTATTGCACGTGTTTGTCGCTCGGCTGAAACACACCAGAATGATACTTGAATATATGCAAATACGATTGCCCCACAACCGATTCCTAAATATAAACAAATGAAACTAGCAATCCATAAATTCTAAATAAAATAAAAAGTTGACTAACTTACCCACTAAAATTAACGCCTGTTTTCGAACTTGACCAGGAAGATCAATGTCTGGTACAGTAAAATTAGAACCAGTAAAATTGCATAGTCTAAACTAGAGATATTGATAAGATTTATCACTGATTATTACAGAATATACTACGATATAACATTAACTTTACTTGTAAAGTGACATAAAAGTAGTTGAGGTTAGGATTATTCCTGGTGGACAATAAGCTATCGAAATTTCCGTCAAATCAAATTCACATAAATTGAATGAACTATCTGTAAATATATCAACAAGATTTCCAAAAATAAGTAATAGCAAGGGTAATGCGGCTCCATGACAGATAGCAGCAAAAGTCGCCATTATCATATAAAACACATCGATTTTCTTAGCAAAACGAAACTTAAAGTCAAAAGTAAATAAAAAATCCTTTATTATTATAAGTTAAAGTTTTTAATCTGAACTTACAAGTTGTTTAAGACTAACTGATTTTGTGTTGTTTTTTATTTCTTGTTTCGTTTGATTTCCATTTACATCGTAAGTTTTATTTGACCGCAATAATCTAATTGGTTTCTTTGACTTGAATTTAGTTCTAAGAACATACGATATGCTTAGAATGTTTTAAAATTTATTTCAAAAAAATTCGATAACTTACGATTGACTTAAAGATGTATTGTAATCTAACATTACAATATCATTTTTCTCATTTTGTGTATCATGATTCATTTTTGTTTGTTATTTTATATAGATAATAACCACCGAAACTATAATATAGCAGTCATTAATTAATAAAGCATGTGCAGAATTCTAGATTATCATTTATTTACTATGCATGTAATATACTCTTATGTACAACTCATGAAACATGTGTGAAATGATTATTTAAATTAGATTTTCCACGTAACGAAATAATATATTCAATTCTTTCCTCCAACTCTGTAGATAATGATTACTCCTATATAGCAAAAACTACGGAATAATGGATGCTTGATATGTCAATAAGCAGTTGCATTTTCTATCCTTACTTTGATCTAACTCCGTAAAACTTGTCAAAGCGTTTATCTTCTGCAGAATAATTGGTGTAAGCAATTCGTACCATACAGAGAAAATGTCGAAAAAATTAGTGGAACAGACGTTATCGATAACCTCGACTATCGTGTCAACGTTTGTTTTTATTTCGAAAAAAAATCAAAAGTCTAAGGAAAACTTAATTTTACACAAATTAACGACTTTTTTTTCTTGTTTCAATTAAAGCTTTGAAGTTGTATGACACAAAGGGCTCCTAAAACTCAGCAGCTTACGCTAAATTAGATGGTTAACATTATCATGAGATCAAAAAATTTAAAAAACCCCAAGAAAATATACTAAGGTGTCAGAACTTCAAACTTGCAGAGCTTTTCGTTCTTTCAATTTTTACACATGGTTCAATAGAGCTTTTTCTACTCAAAACCATTCCGATCCGATCCACATCGATTGAGTAACCAATTTCAACCAATCAGAGGGCGTAGCGCTGGAACAGATCGGCACAGAATCTTATAAATAGTTCAACGTGGTGCGGAATTGGCTATTCTATCGATGCAGATCGTGTCAGACTGGTGTTGAGTAGTAAAAAATTTCAAAAGGTTTTTGGAAGACCCAGTTTCCCAGAAATCCTCTCGAAAGCTTCCGGAGTTCTCAAAAGTTTTCTCATTAGGATCTACGATGTTTCTACCCATCCAACCAAATTTTTATTGAAGTTGAATGAATTATTGAACTGCCCGAGTCGAGGCAAAATGCACAGGTTCCACCAAAAAAAGCTCTACCTCAGAAACCAAAAGAACCTGGAAAAAAGCATACGTAACTTTTTTCGTGATGTTCTAACGACTACAATCACTTAAAAATATTGCCTTTAACCCAAATCTATAAAGACTTTATGTTTTTGGTGCGAATGGAAAAGAAACTTTCTCGCTCTCCGCTGTCTTTAAATCTTTTTCTGTCAACTACTGGCTGTGTTATATTGAGAATAAGTCTTTTAGATGCAGTTTTCGACGTAGAAAAGGAAAGAAATTGTTTTAGACTTCCCAAAGATAATTAAAATAGAGATAGTTTTTTGATTATTTTCAAAAATTAGGCTGTTTTTTCAGGATCTGAAGCTTTTTTGAGTTTTTCCAAATTTTTCTGAAACATTAAGACACACATATTCGGATGCAGTTCGACGAGCCCTATCGAACCATGTGTAAAAGTCGAGAAAAATACAAAGCGCTGCAAGTTTGAATTTCCGGCACCTTAATTGCTGACTTATTTTCTGTAGTAAACTCTTCAATACATGAGAATCATACTTTTCTACATTTTAAACCACGTGTACATATTAAACATGTAATTTAGCGAGATTGCTCAGTTTCAGGAGTTTTACAGCAAGAGTCACGATAAAGCCATCCAGGACGGATCTACCAGTTCAAGGACGGCCCATTCTTGAGCTCTTAGAAAAGTCTATATCATGTCAAAATAACGAAAAGATTAGACAGTTTCTTCCGTAAAGAACACAGCATAAACACTGAATAATAAAGGATGAAATCAACAGTCATAGCATTCGAAAAATGAGTGGTGTCGAGAATTCAGACTGTGGCTACTCACTCTCATGCACCCCTCACCACTTTTACATTCTTCCTACCAACTGACAGATTCTAGTCCAATGTTGGCAGATTCTGGTAGAACTCGAAGTGGAATTTTACGACAGTCTAACCAGAATCTGCCAGAGAAAATCTATATAGAGTTATATTAGTTCACACTTAGATTCTCTATACGAATTAGCACATTCTGGTGTAATTCTACCAAAATTCAACCAGACTCTGAACAGAATCTCAGTAGCAGTATCATACTCACAGTATGATACTATTACTAAGATTAATGTTTACTAAGACAATATGTGAATGTGTCGAATTCTGCGAGTTCTCAGCAATTCAAAAAAATTCTCAACTGTTTTTGGACCGCACTATTATATTGACAAGGCATCTGAGTAGCTGGGATGATCCATTGTCTCAGACAGAAAATGTTTTCATTATATAATGTGCTGAGGTAGCTTCACATGGAATCTTTTTTCGTACCGAATCTTTTAAACGTTCCAAAATGGAATCCTATTTTCAAACTCTTAAAAGTATCTGCGTGACACCTTTCTTTTTTAGAGGATAATTCACCTGGTAGAGTGAAAAAATTTCGGCGAGTTAATTAGCCCTTAGATGAAAATTCGTTCAGAACCGGTGAAAAAGGTGTAGAAGAAAAACGGTAAACTGTAAAAGGTATCAATAGGAACAAAAATAGAAAATGGGCACTGAGAAACCATGAAACAATAAGAAAACAACGGAATTTCTACGATATTTTAGCCATGTATATAATTGAACATAAAACTGCCTCACTATTTCGAAGACACCAAACAGTTTGATTACAAATTTCCTTCTGTCTTACTTTAAATTATTAAATTAGTAATAGTTTCAGAGAGAAATCTCTGTTGTTATATCATATTGATTTGTCAGCCACAAAATATGTTTCACAAATTGAAATCTTTAACTTTATGCGTTTATGCGCATGCAAATAAATAAATCCTTGACACTTGTTGGTTTGCAAACATTTGTCAGCAGTAACAATAAAATGATAAAGGTGTGCACATATTTTTGAAAAAAAAATGAAAAGAATGAGCAGAAATATTATCATTTTCTGTTTCATATCGTATATATTTGCCGCATGAAGGAATGTGAGAAGAATGAGCAACTTGAAAGAGTCTTTGAATATTACTTACAGCAATGAGCATCTGAGAAAAAAAAAAGAACTTCTTGTTGGTCAATGCATGTTACGTTGCTTTGTAGAGTTGTAATCGATAACGATGAACGGCCAAGCCATTCCGTTCCAGTAAGACTTTTAGAACGGTCGCTCAGGAAAAAAGTGTTTAACCAGTGTCATTTTGAGCTTTTTCTTGAATAAAATTAGTCTTTCACTATGAGAAAATAGAAAATCAAGAACGGCCGTTTCGGAATTTTCAAAACCGTAACGTTTTCATTCTAAGACTTTGATGACCTCCTTCTCTCAGCTAAAAGTACGTGACCTTTATAACCTGTATTTAACGTACGAATAATCATTGAGTGCTAGTATAAAATACTGTGGCAATCATAAATTATCTCTTGCGCGTATATCTCATCATAAAGCAGCTTTGTGAAGAATGTTAGAGGCCAAAATCAAAGTCTACATTAACCTAAAGATTGGGATAAGGTGAAGTAAAGAGTAGGGTTAGGTATCAGACTAAGAGGCACGGAAAGCAAACTTGCAATGGAATTTAGTTTCGAACATATCATACATCGTTAGATAGAGGACTTCAAGACGGTTAAGACTATATGTGCCTTGATTTTTTCTGACACTTTTTGCGGTCGAAAAATTTAAAAAAAAGTCGAAAGGTGTTACAACTGACATTTTTCGTCTTTTTTGAAATTCGCTTTTTAAATTATGTTACGAGATGGAATGTTCTAACTTGTTTTTCCTGATTCAGCATTGAAAAATTGAATTAGAAAATGGTCTTGGAACATTTTCAGAACAAAACATCTATTCACAAAAAATTACGCAATGTCCATGGCTCAAAAACGGAACACAATTTTGCAGGCCTATATCACAAATTTTTCTAGAGGACCTAGAAAATATTTCCACATGGTTAGATCTGCTAGATGTTCAGCTTCAAAGTTACGGAACGTTTTTCCAAAAATTCCTTTTCCTCGCTGAGAAAAACCGATTTTGCCAAGGACACCTCAGAATCGGCCAGCTGATTTTCGAGTATTTTCTTCTGCTCTTTGCCAAATATAGTACAAATAGGCTCAGACAGGTTAAAGTTGATGCCGAATCCAACAGACATACGACCGAGATCTTTAGAGGGCGTCTGGAGGGTCTTGAGAGGGTTTCTGGAAGGCTTTCCAGTCGCGTTTTGGCTGAAATGTAATACAGGAATGTGAAAACGCAATGATATAAAGGATGACATTGAGAAAACATTTTATCATAGAGAAGAAGAAGCAAAACTGTGATGAATGATAAATATTCTAAGATTATTCTACTTATCGTTTATACTATCGTTATATAGCCTATGCTACTATTGAAAATGAACCATCTTAACCTCATGAATGCTCTTAAATTGCTTTTCGAGCAATACATATATACAATAGAAGTGGCATATTACAGTTACTCATATATTACATTACCGAAGAAAGTAATACTAAAGATATGCCTGTTGCTGCTAATAGTAGTATGGCATGTAAATCCTGAAAAAATCCTGCGTAAAGGTAAGAAATATCGCAAGACTTTTTAGCTTACTCAATCTTCAAGTTTTTTCTTATGAGATCTGACAGGATTTTGTAGGTTGAAAGAAAAAGGATTTTGTCACCCATGTCTTTCCTGCGGCATTCTGCAATCTTTTCTCAACAATATCTGTGCAGGGTGACCGTTTCGGAACTTTTCTATATTTTATTTTTGGAAAGTTAAGAACTTTTGCATCGTTTTTTGTAAAGTTATAAAAGCTTTTCTCGTATCCAATAAACTTCTAGAAAATGTATGCCTTAACATTTTGGCTTTAACACGCATGTATACAACAGGGCTCGAAACAGGCCGACAATTTTGAGCTTTGGTCTACCTGCGTCAGGCCTGTAATGTTTAGATCTGCCTGGGCCTGTCGAAATATTTCCTTGCCTGCTAGCCTGCCATTGCTCTCGGCCTACCCT